CCAACTAATAGTTTACTATCCATAGATAACCATACTGAACATTTCTGTGAGTATCCTTCCAGGGATTTAGTCTCTGTACATAAGATAAGCTTTTTAACTTGATGGAGTGATTAAGAAGAGCATGGTGCTGTGGTGTCTAAAGACTTGGGTTTAAATCTTCGTCCTTTTATTTAATGCGTGTATGGCCCTAGCCAAATAACTTTATGAGGTTTAATTTCCCCATCCAGGAAGAACATGAATAATAGGATCTACCTAAGGAATTTGTTGAAGGTGTAATCCCTACAAAGAGTTTATGCTGTGTAAAATACTGACTGAGCATTCAGTAAGAGTCTGTCGCAGTACCCTGGCTGTGCTCCTTCTAAGGCAGATCCCTTTACTTGTGTACTAGATTGCTTACTCAAGGACAAGGTTTCTACAAACCTCTCTCTTTCTCCTTCATTATCAGTTTTCCCCCTCTCTTCATTTAAACCTTTTCTGGTTCAGATTTTTTAAAATAAATAGGTAGGACTTCCCTGGTGGCGCAGTGGTTAAGAATCCGCCTGCCAATGCAGGGGACACGGGTTCGAGCCCTGGTCCAGGAAGATCCCACATGCCGCAGAGCAACTAAGCCCGTGCGCCACAACTACTGAGCCTGCGCTCGAGCCTGTGAGCCACAGATACTGAGTCCTTATGCCACAACTACTGAGGCCCATGCCTAGAGCCCATTCTCTGCAACAAGAGAAGCCACCAAATGAGAAGCACGCGCACCGCAAGGAAAAGTAGCCCCCGCTCGCCGCAGCTAGAGAAAGCCCGCGCACAGCAACAAAGACACAATGCAGCCAAAAATAAATAAATTTTAAAAACTAAAAATAAATAGGTGGGAGTTTAATAGATAACAGCTTTCTGTGTTTTGATAAATCTGTCTCCAGGTTTTATTTTAAGTGGATTAAATTGGTTGCAGTTATCCATTATTTTTGGATGATGAAGTCAGAACTATAAACTAGGGTCTTTCATCCTGAGCACTGTTGACATTTGGGGCCAGATAATTTTGTCATGAACGTTATCCTGTGCATTGTAGGTTGCTTAGCAGCATCCCTGGCTTCGACTCGCTAGTTGCCAGTTGTACCTTTCAGTTGTGACAATTCATTTGTGACACATTGCCAAATGTCCCCTTGGGAAGTGAGTGGTTCTGTTGAGAACCACTGACTTTTAAACAGTGGCTTGCCTATAGCAATTATAAAGGGATAATTATTTGCCTGTTTTTCTTATAGTCTTATAAAGTACCATCCTTTTACCAGGCCGTCCTGGAGATGACAGTATACAGCTGGAATTTGCATGAGTATATGTTAAGAATGCCAGTAATAACATGGTGACTGTTGAGGTGGTCTGTTTGCTTCTCGCCACCCTAGGAACATAACAATGGTGATGATTATAAGGTTACCATTTGTGGGTGCCTACTATGTACCAGACACTGCCTGGGTGAAGTTTACTTATACCTATATTACAGGAGAAAAGCTGTAAAGGTTGTCCAAGTCTGATGCAACTTTAGGTACCTCTGTCAGTTTAGTGCACCCACATGAACACTTCACGTGACTCTTGACTGGCAGTACCAGATGAGGCCCCAAAGCCGTTTGACCAAGAGTTCAATAGGATCCAGGATCTGAGCAGCATAGGGGTCATTTGGTAAAGGTGAAGGTATGTAATTACTGAACATTGTCTGGAAGTGGTCATTGAGTCAGTATTGGCATGGAGAATCATGCTAAGGCAGAGTACAGGTCAAGCTTTCTGAATCAGCATTAACTGAAGAGGGCAGGATTCTCTTTCTGTTAGAACCAGGGTGTACCTGTCAGTGGAACTGAGCCCTCACATGGATATTCACCACTCTGTACACAATATGAGTGTTTGCGGTTTGCTTTCCTTGGAGGGCTGTCTTGAGAGAATTATTTACAGATTGATAACTCTTCCTAGACTGTGATTTGAATTAATCTTTAGAGACCATGATAGGGATCTTTGAACTGTCCTTGCTGTCCTGAGGTCATGGAGAATCTATGAGGAAGATGACCCATGTGTAAAATTAATTCTGAGTTTGAGGAAATGTTCACTTTATATAGTATTCTTTTTTTGTTTTAAAATAAAGAAAAGAACCTGTCTAATTCAAATCTTGGGTTAGTGGTATGAATGTAAATTGATACAGCCACTATGGAGAACAGTATGGAGGTTCCTTAAAAAACTAAAAATAGAACTGCTGTACGACCCAGCAATCCCACTACTGGTCATATACCCTGAGAAAACCATAATTCAAAAAGAGTCATGTACCACAATGTTCATTGCAGCACTATTTATAATCGCCAGGACATGGAAGCAACCTAAGTGTCCATCGACTAATGAATGGATAAAGAAGATGTGGCACATATATACAACGGAATATTACTCAGCCATAAAAAGAAACGAAATTGAGTTATTTGTAGTGAGGTGGATGGACCTAGAGTCTGTCATACAGAGTGAAGTAAGTTGGAAAGAGAAGAACAAATACCATATGTGAACACATATATATGGAATCTAAAAAAAAACAAAAAAGGGTTCTGAAGAACCTAGGGGCAGGACAGGAATAAAGACGCAGACATAGAGAATGGACCTGAGGACACGGGACGGGGAAGGGTAAGCTGGGACGAAGTGAGAGAGTGGCATGGACATATATACACTACCAAATGTAAAATAGATAGCTAGTGGGAAGCAGCCACATAGCACAGGGAGATCAACTCAGTGCTTTGTGACCACCTAGAGGGGTGGGATAGGGAGGGTGGGAGGGAGGCGCAAGAGGGAGGGGATATGGGGATATATGTATACATATAGCTGATTCACTTTCTTATACAACAGAAACTAACACACCATTGTAAAGCAATTGTACTCCAATAAAGATGTAAAAAAACCAAAATCCTGGGTTAGAAGTTGTTGTTTAATGTAAATGTTGAAAATTATTGATGGGAGAATTTATTTATTTGAAGTTTAATCATTTTGCTTTTATTTGGATCACATTTATTGCTTGTCACTCTTAATTGGTTGCTGGGAGTGTCAAGTTTTATCTTGAAATCTTTACTGGGGTCTAAAGTAATTACTAAAAGCTAGCCTTCAAATCATACATAATGAGTAAAGACTTGTTAAATGATTTAACATATTATTGACTCAGTTGACTCATGCTGTGCTTATGACATGGGTCTCCTAGTTGTTGTGGCCAAGAGGACATCAACAGAAATAATTGTCTCAGGGATTCCCTGGTGGCGCAGTGGTTGAGAGTCCGCCTGCTGATGCAGGGGACACGGGTTCGTGCCCCGGTCCGGGAGGATCCCACATGCCGCGGAGCGGCTGGGCCCGTGAGCCATGGCCGCTGAGCCTGCGCATCCGGAGCCTGTGCTCCACAACGGGAGAGGCCACAGCAGTGAGAGGCCCGCGTACCGCAAAAAAAAAAAAAAAAAAAGAAATAATTGTCTCAGGACACACCTGAGAAGGTTTAGATAATTATTATGTTAATTGGACTGTTATTTCTTCTGAGCCTTCTTAGTTTAGTATCTGTTTGATATGGATAGCTACTTCTCAGTGTCTAAGTGGTACTATTTCCAGGATGACTTTTTTAAAATTTTATTTTATTTATTTATTTTTGGCTGTGTTGGGTCTTCATTGCTACGTGTGGCCTTTTCTTTAGTTGCGGCGAGCAGGGGGCTACTCTTCCTTGCGGTGCGCGGGCTTCTCATTGCGGTGGCTTCTCTTGTTGCGGAGCACAGGCTTTAGGCGCACGGGCTCAGTAGTTGTGGCTCGCAGGCTCTAGAGAGCAGGTTCAGTAGTTGTGGAGCACGGGCTTAGTTGCTCCCGCAGCATGTGGGATCTTCCCGGACCAGGGCTCGAACCCGTGTCCCCTGCATTGGCAGGTGGATTCTTAACCACTGTGCCACCAGTGAAGTCCCTCCAGGATGATTTTTGATGGATGATCTTTACAGCCTTGAGTAATTCATTTATCTCCCTCCTCTTTTATTTTACTATGTTTTATATTTTCAAAAACTCTTATTTTAAAAAACTTTTAATCGAAATATATCATGTGTTCAGCTTGATGAATTTTCACAAACTGACCATACCTCTGTGAACATACCTGTATAACCAGCACATGGTCAGCATCTCAGAAGCCCCCCTCATGTTTTCTTCTGTTCACTACCCACTACCCCCAAGGGTAACCACCATCCTGACATAAAGCATAGCTTGATTTTACTTATTCTTGCACTTTATTTAAATGGGAGAAAAACCACTTACTCTAGCATCTGACTTCTTTCACTCAACCTTACATTAATGAGATTCATCCTTATTTTTGTTCTTTGTTCTAGATTATTCATTTTCATTGTCATATACTATTCCATTGTGTGAATATATCACAGTGTATTTACCTTTTTATTGCTCATGGACATTTGATCTTTTCTAGTTTTGGCTATTATGAATAGTATTGCTATGAACATATAAATGCATTTATATGGGGTATATAGCTAATACATGAACTGTTAGGTCATATGTATATACTGCCAGTTTTTGAAAATAGTTGTGCCAGTTTGCATCCCCATCGGCAGTGTATGAGAGTTTGGGTTGCCCTCTGACTTCTCTATCACTGGTGTTTTTTATTCTTTTCATTTTAACCATTCTGGTTGGTATGTAGTGGTATCTCAGAAAACCTCCTGTGGCAAAACTCAGCTGTGAATTTGGGGCATCTTGGGGCTTTAATCTGTCAAACCAAGCTCATGCACCCACCAGAGCCTCATTTGTTTCTCTTCCCTTAGTAGAGTCCTTCTTCTTGGGTCAAGTATGATCTTTAGTCTGCACCCAGAATTGGCAGATACCTCCAGAGAAGAGAATAGATGATGATCATCCACTCACCTCAGAGGGCTCTCCCCTCTGGAATTCCAGTTTATCCACTCCTCATTGCTTCCACAACTCTCCAACATCTATGAAAATGTGATTTTTAAATTTTTTGTGGCTTTTTCTAGTTATTGAAGCTAAATCAGCTTGCCACGACCTATTATATCCTACGCAGAAGTGGAAGTTGTCAGTAGATTCTTGGGATTTTCTGTGTGCCCAGCGATGTCACCTGTGAGTAATGTTAGTTTTTTTCCCCTTCCTTTCTCATCTTTTTTTTTTTCTTGCATTATCAGACTGGTCATAATTACCAGTACAGTGTTTAATAGAAGAGGTGATAGTGGCATCTTTTTTGTAGGGATGGAGAATGAATGCATTATTTTATCATTGTGTATGACAATTGCCGTGGTTTTTGTAGTTTTTTCTAGATGAAGGAATTCTCTTCTATTTCTAGTTTGCTGACTTTTTTTAAAGACATGAATGGTTATTGAATTTAAATACTTTTTTTGCACGTACCAAGATGATTATATGACTTTCTCTTTCTTTCCCCTATTCCTATGGCTTAATGTATGCTTCTGAAAAATCACATATAATCTTACCATGTCTACTGTAATATTATTTTCATAATCCCTTTCATCCATGAGACAGTTCTGTACAGAGAGACAATTCTCTCTTTAAACCTGCTGTACATTTAAACCTACCATACATTTTCCTTTTTATTTTTTATTAGTGAAGTAGATAATATAGTTCTCAGCCCAGGGACTACTTTGGCAGATTGGAAATATTCTTCCGGGCTCCTACCACTACCTCTCTCTATTTTATATAGGGAGGAATGAGTGAAAAACTGAAAAATCTCCTTAGAGCATGATTTTGACCTATTTTAATTTTTATTTCCTTGTTTTTATTATTTGGGATTGTAAGGGAGGAGAATGGGGTCAGGGAAGGGCTGAGGGGGTGATAACGGGGAGCTGGGGAAGAAAGCCATATGTGATTTCCTTAAGCATCACCTTCTGCTCCTCCCCTTCCCACGCTTCCTCATTATAGTCCCAGCTTTGCCACAAATCAATTGTGTGAATGACCTTGGACAAGTCACTTAATCACTGAGCTTTTGTTTCCTTATCTGGGATTGAGGAGAATGGCCATGAACAGCTGCTGTGACCTTCCACTTACGGAGAATGGAAAGATTCAATGAGCAGTTTATAAAGCATATGACACTTTTAAAATGCGAGCGATTTTTTAAAAAATGTCTTTATTGGGATATAATTGCTTTACAATGTTTTGTTAGTTTCTGCTGTACAGCAAAGTGAATCAGCTATACGTATACACATATCCCCATATCCCCTCCATGAGTGGTTGTTAGGATTAGTTTTCTACAGTGACATCTATCTCAACATTTTCTAACAGCCTGAAAATTACCTGTGGAAGAAGGATGCTTGTGAAACACCCTCGGCCCCCAAACTACAACTGTAGGAAACCTGTAGTTAACTGTGGCAAGAGGTATCAAATGGAGGTTTTGTTAATTTGTTTAAACCTTCATAAGGTCTCTATAAATTGTTCAGAGCTAAGCTTGTCACTTTTGGAATGAACAACCATTGATATGTATGTACCAAAGCTAAAACAAAATTTGCAAAAGCTCTTTTCTCTAAAATGATACTGCTGTAGGATTCCTTTAAATTAAAATAACCCGTGTTCATTTAAGGGTTTGTTTTTTCATTGTAAACTCCTTTCCAGAGAGTTAGAACAGCGGACATGCTGCCTGGAACAAAGACAGAGCATCACATCGTGGGGAAGTAAGACTTAATTGACAGGATTTTAGTTTATACCCACCTTTATGATCTGTCTGGCGCATGAAGTGAGATACACTGGTCCTGTAAGTGAAGAGCCATGGGGTAGATCGGGGACCGGTACCAGTCCAAGGCCTGTTAGGACCCGGGCCGCACAGCAGGAGGTGAGCAGCGGGCCAGCAAGCAAAGGTTCATCTGCCGCTCCCCATCGCTCGAATTACCGCCTAAACCATTCCTACCCCCACAACCCCCACCCCCGTCTGTAGAAAATTGTTTTCCACGAAACTGGTCCCTGGTGCCAAAAAGGTTGGGGACCGCTGGGGTAGATGGTTCCCTGAGACATGTCATTTTTTAGGTCAGGTAACATGAATAGTATTGGGGAATATGTGGTCTTATAGTGAGACATCCGAGGGCTCATATCACCACTATTCTGTTTTACTCACCTCTGCCTTGTACAGGGAAGAAAGGGTGTTTGTGGAGTGGTTCTGATTTGAGGCGTTTTCTCTCTGGGTACCTCCTCCACATTCAGGAGTGCCATAGGTAAGCTTCACGTCCACCTATGGTTTTGGTAGTGGATGGATGGATTCCACAGAAGGGAGGTTTTGATTTATAATTTGACTATTAGCCCAATCATTTGCCTGTTCAGGTTTATAGGTCATCCATTTAGAAATTAGAAATGGATCAGGTCTAACTTTAAATATGTCTCGGGCTGTGGGGGTGGGTAGGGAGCAAACAGCAGAGTAAACTTGCTCAATCTTCTATTAAATCAGCTGTGAAACACTTAGAGATGTGAGAAAAAAGACTGTAAAGGGTCATCTGAATAAAAGATTATTTGCGTAAAAGTTTTTCTCTTGGCACAGGAATTTATAATTGATCTATTTGGGAATTTGTTTTTGCAGACCTGCAATTTAGGCCTAGATAAAAGTCCATGATCTTTCAGTGGAAGTTCTGGTTGTAGTTCTGTTAACATCAAGCTCTTGTTTTTCCGCTGAATGCCTCACATTTTTTTCTTCACCACCATTCTTTTGCTCAGGTCTCCCCTTCCTGCTATCTGGCATGCTTCTACTCACCTACTCTCTTTCCTGTCTCCCCTCCTGGACTGAGTTAGATGCCCCTTTTATTACTCCCATAGTTCCCTGGGGATAACTTTGTCACCACACTTAAAAAATAGTGTCTTGTTTTCATCTCTTGTCATAAGTCTGGGTTCCTTCAGAGCAAGGGCTCTGGTGTATTCATCTTTGTAGCCAACATGTGTGGTGTGGTGTCTGGACCTTAACTGTTTGTTTGGATATCAGGGTGCTTAGGTGGACAGGACTGGGAGTTAAGAGCTAAGTCCTAATTGTAACTTTTTGCTGTATAATCTTGGACAAGTGCTCTTCAGTTTTCTTTTAAGTAAGATGAGGGGACTAGCTCACCTGGGGATCTTGTTAAAACTGCAGATTCTGTCTTAGGAGGTCTCTAGTGGTTTCTAATGTTTTGCATTTTTAACAAGCTTACAAGAAGAGCTAGTGCTGCCAGTTCAAGAGCTACAAAGGACTAGATAACATCTAATGGCTTTTCCAGCTTTTACCTTCTGTGATTTTAGTCACTGTTTTAAATTATGAACAAAATTACAAGATACGCTGTAATTGCTAAACATCTCTCCAGTTTATCAGAATGTGAAACACTGACAATTCTGTGCCTAATTATGAAGTTGTATGATAATGTCCCTGTATTACTTCCAAGATTTTGACTTCGACAGGTTAAAAATATCAGATAGATGTCCAGAAAAGCATTTGAGTTAGCACTAGCTTGTCATCTAAAAGTCACTACTTGCTTGCTTGCTCTTTGGTGCATATTGGAGAACATTTGCAATAAATAAAATGCTAATGAGGGAGCTGAGATGGGTAGACATGTGATCCCATCAGTATAAATTCAGACAGGCAAGCTGTTGAGAAATTCATCATCATCAGAGGAGCTCCTGATCATTTCCTTCAGTTCTCCAGAAGGTGAGAATCAAATTGTCGTATGACATATTGATAGATATGCTGTAGGTAAAGGCAGACTGTACCTATTGAATATGGATTGCTGGGGATGGGTCTTGTTTGGAAACGTCTCTACTGTTTCTTTTAGCTTTTACTTCCTCAGGAAGTCACGATATTTGATTTGGGAGCATTGCCAGCTTAGAAATTTATAGCTGCCCTTGATCTGGTGTACAGATGTCTAAAAGTAGTTGGGTTAATTTTTATGTTTGATTCATAGAAAAAAAAATCCATCTCTTTACTCTTAACCACACCAGGAATATTAAACGGACATAGCTTCGGTGTCCACATGAGTTACATACATGCCTGTGATGGACTGTGATCATTTTCTTTCCTCTAAGCAAATGAAAATCTGGACAAGGGAAATTAAACCCTGAAAAAAGTACAGAATGTAGCATATAGTTGAGGGTGGTTATCTTAATTATAATGAATTTTTCACCTCCCACAGAATAAGACAGTTTGTCTCACCAAAGTGAGCTCTATTTCATTTCCTGACTATGGTTGTGGATTGAACAGAAGTTTTAGAGCTTGCTTCTTCATCATCATCATCGTCATTGCATTTTAATCATTTGTAACCCTTGGTTCCCCTAGATCAAACTAGCTGGGGCAAACAGTAGAGGGAGCTGGGTATAAGCAATGGCAATGGAACCAAAATAAATAGCCTTTGGTTTTTGCTCCCACTTAGTGGAATCCATCACGAGAATTCCAACCTTCTCCCTCCCTCCTGGTAGAGCCTTACAGGAGGGAGCTTAGGCATCCTCTTTGGTACACATGGAGCTTTTTTTTACTGTTGCCTTTTTTAAAAAAAATAATAAATTTATTTATTTATTTTTGTCTGTGTTGGGTCTTCGTTGCTGCGCGCGGGCTTTCTCTAGTTCCGGCGAGCAGGGGTTACTCTTCATTGCCGTGCGAGGGCTTCTCATTGCGGTGGCTTCTCATTGCAGAGCACGGGCTCTAGGCGCGCGGGCTTTGGTAGCTGTGGCACGTGGGCTTAGCAGTTGTGGCTCGCGGGCTCTAGAGCACAGGCTCAGTAGTTGTGGCGCGTGGACTTAGTTGCTCCAAGGCATGTGGGATCTTCCTGGACTAGGGCTCAAACCCGTGTCCCCTGTATTGAGAGGCGGATTGTTAACCACTGTGCCACCAGGGAAGGCCCTAATGTTGCCTTTTAATGCTGTCATTCTTGCTGGGGGTCTTAATGGAGGCTACCTAGTGGCTTATTTAATCTTAATCTTGCTGTTAGGTTGGAACTCATTTTTAAAATAGTAATGTATGTTGAACCCAAACTAAAGCTTTTGAAGCCAGCTGTGTATCAAAGGCATTTGCTGCAGTCCAAATAGGTTGTCTTTTGGGAAATACCTTAACCAGGATTATTATTGTTGTGACCTTCTTTGGAGGCTTAGACAGACCATTTTTATTACCCTGAGAATTT